TGTGTGTGTGTTTACTGCCAGTTTACTGGAACTCAAAGTCGTACGACTCAGCTTGAAGCTGGTGGTCAGTCGACCGAAAGTGGAGTGGGCAATCCCTGGCTAGGAGATCCGCCCCGCCAAAGTAAGTAATGCAAACTTCAGAATTTATATTACTCTTAATAGATAATAAATACAAATATATAAACGAGACGGACTGTAAAGGGGTTTTTGTTTGCCATTGTTTGCGTCTGTGGTCGCAATAAAATCATTCCAAAGAGGGAGTGGTGGGGTTGCCATTCAAAGGAGGGGGGGGGCCGTGTTGAATCAGTTGAAGCCGTTCTTGCGAGCCCAGGCGGTGCCCACGGTGTTCATCTGATCATCACCCAAACCGCCGTCAGCAGTGGGCGACGAGGGATCAGCGCTACCCGGTCCGCCGCCAAAGGCAGGGAACTCCTGTGCATTGTTGGTGTCCGGTGCAGGGCCGTTGTTGTGCTGTTGATTGGGCAGACCGCCATTGTGTCCACCGCCTCCCTTATTCTTCTTCTCCCAAGGTCCTCCTCGGACCTGGAAGCCGCCCTTGCCACCGCCTCCGCCACCATCTCGGCCTCCACCACCACCACCGTGATGGTCCTTACTGTCCTTGACAGTGGCCGTGGCCGACAGCTCCTCAAAGTTGATGTGAAACTGGTGGTCAGTCGGTGGCTGGTACTGCACATCAATGTCGTCCAGCTGTCAAGCAAAAACAAACAAAAAACAAACAGGTTAGAAACCAGATAACCATCACCTCTCAACACGACAATGTTTCCACTTACATATGTGTCCGCCACCTCGAGCAGGTGCTCCCTCGCCTCCTCCACCGCCTCCGGCAGGCCAGTGATCAGCACCAGATCGGGGTCGGCCTCTCCGGCGGNCCGGCGGCGTTCGTCTTGGGGAAGCGAATGTCCACCTTGAACTGGCTCATCACCTTGCGAATCGCCGCCCCACGACCGCCAATCAGTCGCGAGTGAATGCGATTGTCAATGGACAGCTCCTCGGTGACCAGGTCCTCCTGCTCCTTGACGATCGCCAGGATGGTCTCCTTCGCCGCCAGGGCGTCCTTCTCGTAGCCAATGACGGTGATCAGGTCGCCGGCCTCGCCGCCACCGCCACGACCCGACTCGGGCACATTAATCTGCACATTGTGCTTGGTGCGAATCTTGCTAATGACCGCGCCCTTCTTGCCGATAATCTTCGGGTGGTGCACCGGGTTGACGGGAAAGCTGAGCGAGTAGGAGCGCGCCTGGCGGTCCGCCTTCTCGCCCTCCAGCTCGGCCAGCCGCTTACCGAGCTCCTCGCGGGCGCGCTCCACCGCCTCCGGGCTGCCCGTCACGTAGATCAGGTCAGACTTGTCCGCCTGCGGCGGCACGCGAATGTTCACATTGCAGCGGTCCATCAGCTCGCGCACGCCGACGCCCTTCTGCCCGATGACGTACCGGTGAAACTCGTAGGGAATGGCCACCGTCGCCGTGACGGGCACCAGGGCGAGCAGCGCCCGCCGGGCCGCCTCGCAGTTCTCCGCCCGGCCGCTGATCAGCACCGTATTGGCCCGTTCCGCTCGAGCCTGCTTCTCCTCTTCAGTCTCTTCAGGGGCCGCCGCCGCCTGGTTCTCTCCATTCGCCTGCTGCTGCTGCTGCAACTCCTTTTCAGTCTTCGGTCGTGCGGGAAACTTGATGCGCACATCGTGCTCCGCCTGCAGCCCATTCACCCGACTTCGCGGCCCGCCGGTGAGCAGCCCCCGGTGGTGGACCGCCTCCACCTCCACCTCAATGGTCACCTGCGCCTCGTGGTCGGCGATAATCTCCGCAATGCGGCCCTTCACCGCCTCCACGCACTCCGGCGCGCCCTTCAGCTGAACGCGGTCGCTGGTGGGCGTTGCCTTGTCGCCGCCGCCGCCGCCCAGCGGCGGAAAGCTCACATTGACGCCGCCGTAGTCGTCGTAGAGCTGCTTGCAGACGGCCGCCCGGCGCGCCACAAACAGGTGGTGGTACTTCGGGTCGACGCGCATCTCCGCCTCCACCGTCTTCTCCAGCTCCTTGATCTTCGCCTCGAGCAGGGCGCGGGCCTTCACCACCGCCTCCTTCTTCCCGGTGATGGTCACCACTTCTTCACTGTTGCTGGCGCTATTTTCCTTCTCCTTTTCTCTTCCCGATGAGCCTCGGTGCTGCTGGTGCCCCTGGTGCTGCTGGTCGCTGCTAAAGTACACCCGCACGCCGGTCTCCTCCTTCAGCTTGTTGATGTTGGCGCCGGCGCGGCCAATCAGGTAGCGGTGGTGCTCCACCCGCACCTTCAGCTCCTCCGAGTAGTTGTTCGTCTGGTAGTCGTTGCTCATCGCCACCAGCGCCGTCTTCGCCTTCGCCACGCCCTCCTTCGGGCCGCGAATCTGCACCTTGTCGCTGCCGCTGCCCTCCGGCGGAAAGTTGACCAGCACGCCGCCGCAATTGGCCATCACCGACTTGATGTTCCGCCCCTTGGGGCCCAGCATAAAGTGGTGAATCTTCGCTGGAATGATGATGTCCACGCTGGACATGTCGGCGAGGGTGGCCTGCAGCGCCTGGATGCGGTCCCGGGCGCGCTCCACCGCCTCCTTCTTCCCGGTGATCACCATCAGGTCGCCGTCGCCGTCCACGTCGATGCGTGTGCCGGTCTCCTCGCGAATCTGAAAAAAAGTTAAAACAAAATGTGCAATTAGTTAATGAAGGGCCGAGGAATTGAAAAAAAACTTCCGACCAGCCCAAGAGGTCCAATCGCTTCAGCTGCTACTTTTCGATGAATGCGGGGAAACAACACCCACTGACTGGGTGGCCTCCTTTACGTCATCGGGTAATTACTGACAAGTTACAAGTGACTGAATCAACTTACGCTCTTAATGGAATCCTTGCCCTGGAGAAAGCCCACCAACTGCTTGAAGATGGGCACCTCCAGGCGGTGGTTGTTGAGCAGCAGTTCCTTGTTCATCTGACTGAGGTGCTTGTAGCACGCCTCGGCGTCCTTCTTCGCACCGCGAATCACCACCTTCTCCGAGGTCTCATTCTGCTCGGGGAAGACCACTTGCACCTGAAAGGGGAAAGGCAATGAGTTAGTCAAAGTTAAAGCAATCAAAAACAATCACCCAACCCCACCTACCTGATTAAACTTATTGCGAATGTCCCGAATCTTCTCGCCCTTGGCG